ACGGGACCTTCTTTAAGGGATGTATGCTACTATCGGGCCTAGCAAAATTTCTGCGGCCGGAAAGTGTACTTCTGTGAGCATTATTCTTTGAAGGTTTTTGTATATTTGTTTTTCTGAGGAATCCTACTTGGTTTGCTGTACCCTCTTTAGCTAAGACTGTGGATTCTAGAACATGTATGTGTTTCTGATAACTCCTCACATAACTGCTTCCACAATTGAGTTTTAGCATTTCTTATCTTCTTGTTGTACTGGATGAGTTTAGCCCTATATAGGGCCCAGTCTTCGGTTGACTTGGCTTTATTAAATAGCCTGCGCATTAAATTTAAAAGTACATTTAAGTAATGTTTGTTATGATTTTGTGTAATCTTAACTAACTATTCAATTTAATTTTAAAAGAGAAAATCTTCTGGTACTTGCCTTAATAAATAAAACTTATTAAACTTAATTTCAAAATTTATTTAATTTTTGTTATTATTACCATAACTTAGTCTCTGTACAATAATGCAGTCTTTCGAGATTCTTATTTATTTTCGTTTCTTCTTTTTCCTTTAGGCCTCGTCCTAAAGTAAAGGTCAATATCTACTTTCCTATTGGTCATGAATTACTTCATTTTGTCGTAAGATTAACTGTCTCTTTTTACTACCTCTTTCTTTTTTTTTGGCTACTGAATTGGAACATGTGCTTCCCTATTTCTCGATGAATTTTTGGATTAAATTAGCCCTAAAAGAAAGATTACTTCATTAGTTTTGAAAAAAAGTAATAAGCAGAGTTGCTAATACACTTGGTGGATAAAATATACTTTTTTTTTAAACTAATCTACTTCTAAGCCACTCACCACGCATGGTAAGTTTTCTCAACCAAAATTCATGATCATTAATGAAGGAAGTAAATAATTATAATCTATTGTTTTAGGCTTTCCTGTACAGGTAGTACTTATTCTTGTGGTAACCTGTGAATTTATTTGGAGTACCTTACTGCTTAGTAGTTTCTTGCTTTGCTTCTTAGCTCCCTGCATGGCTTCTGAGCTTTCTGCTTAGCCTTATAGCCAAATAGCTTGCCTCCCAATATAACTGCGAAGCTTGGGATTGTTAAAAAATACCTGGAACCACTTTAATAGGAAGACAAAAATTGGTAATAAAGAATAATACTTCCAGAGACGCTACTGGACTCAATCATAATAAAAGTAAGAACTTTCCATTGTTTAAATTATTGTCGCCAAGGGGATACATATTTTGAAACATATGCTGAGTCAGGAAATAGAAAATATATTTGAAAGAAAAACGTCACAATATTATATTGTTTTAAATAAAATTTTACTTACCCTATGTAAACGATTAGTACTAATCGGGCTTCAAAAATCAAGTTGTACAATTCATTATTTAGCCTTTATTTTCTTCGGATCCTGGCGATATATATAAACACATTATATTACTTTTATATTTACCTAAAAATACAACATTCTACCAATATTTGTCGAATATTATTAACCCACTAGTCCTCGTTTTCTCCTAGAGGAATAGTAGTAACACTTTGCCTCTAAGGCGTTCGACCAGACTGTTTTTGTTCTTTGCTGCCTTGTTTTCTCCGAACGGTTTTTCTCGTAAGCAGTTATAATGGCCTTATTTACTTGGTCTACTGCTAGGTCAAGGCTTTGTTTACCAGTTATTTCCAACATACCCTCTCCGATATACTCTCCAAGTGATTTTGAATACCTTTCCCAGTTCGTCTCACTAGGGTTTCTGCATTTAATTGAAATTCGAGGTTAGGTAATTAGATCAAATCAAATCTGTCTGTGGTCTGAGCACGATGGTTTGTCTAACATATGTCAATTTGAAATGGTATTACTTGCTCTACTTGAGTACAGAGTTATAACTAGGACTTTTTTTCTCGTTGCCGTGACAAAAGTTGGTTTGTTACCTATTAGCAATTAGTAGACATTCAGATAAGATGTATTGTAATAAAGACTCACCTCTTGTATTGATGTTAGTGCTTTCTCAAATGGTATGGTGGGCATTGGCATTGCATCCTATGATGAGTTGGAGGTTAGCCCTTGCCGCATATAAGACTATTTCGCCTATTATATGCGAAAGGCATAGCTCCTCACCTCAAAAATTTGCAGAACAGACTAGGTTTTTTTTGTTCCTTCCTCTACTGGCGTATTTAGAAGCACAGCACCGGTATTAGTACACAAATTATCCTATTGTTGTATATGATATATGCGCGTGGTCTTTTAAGTCTTTCTTTTAGATACCAAAATTATACATTTTTGTACCAAATATTTATACTTTATTTGTTTTTTAATAAATCTTGTTTCTAATGATTTATATTATATATAATTATTTTTTTAATGAATATCTTTATATTGCTTACTTTTATAATTATGCTGGAGCAATATTATAGACTTTTTTTAATTATATTAGTCATGCCTGACAAATGCGAATATTTCTATTTCAGTGAAAATATAATGTTTTTTTTATAGTGTTTTTTTTTTAAATCAATTTAGATTCATTTATTCAATCTTATTGTGCATTTAAGATCAAGAAATAAAGTAGATTACACATGAAAATTTACAATAAAGCTAAAAATTCGTATGATGGTCCGATCCCCTATTATTTGCTTCCCGTCTATCTGTTTAAAAAAAATTGATTTTATGAGGAAGCTGCACAAACAGTCTGATATGAAAAAATTATTATCCAGTCTTAACTCTATAGGATATTTGTAAAAAAATCCTACGAAAGTACTACTCTAGTATTTAAAGTTTATCCTCTAGAGGAATCCTAAAGAGAGGCATGTTTGTCGTTAAACTCACTCTTCCATGTTTAACACTACTTTAATTTCAAGTGCTATGGAACAAACATTTTTAAACAACAAGTTATACCTAAATAAATAGGCTTTGCAATAGTTTTTCATGAGAATTGATAGCTTGACAATTAAGGGAATGACGAACACTCAAAGGCTGATGTTCGTTCATATATTTCATCAAATTTAATCCTATTTTGTTACACTTATAATTTCCCTGGAATAACGATGAGAAAAAAATGCTTCCTAAAAATCGATCGGAAATTTAGTATAGCTCATGATTTCCAAAGAATGTATTTTAAATAGGAATAATAATGCACTGAAATGTTCAGGTATATAAATAAATTCTTTATCCCAATGTTAGTAGAATCGTCTGCTAGCTCCCTTCGGGGAATTTAATTCAACTTTTCTATTAAATTTTTCTCAAAGATTGATACTTTTATAGTTAGGTAATCAATTTAACGACATGAACTAGACTAAATTTGAGATTGATTTTTAGGACATTTTTTTTAATTGGTTTTTAATGGAAATAATTATAAGCGTAACAATTTAGAAATATCAGCCGGTTTTAACGGCTTACAATTTCCTTAATTGTAAAGCTATCGACTCGAACAAAAAAACTATTGTAAAGAATATTTATTTGGGTATAATTTAGTTTTCGAAAAAATTCGATACGACTATCCTTTATTACTATAAAGGTACCATTTGGCAACGCGCGACAAGCGACGCGAGACCGAGACAGAAGTAAGGCGGCAAATATTGCCATACTGAATCTGATGTCATCGGTCGCTTGAACCGAAATATGTTTCATAAAATTACATGTGTTCAGACGTGAAAAGACCGTTTAGTGTCTTCCTTTCTGTAGCCGCGCGTTTTGAAGTCGGTGTCGGCTTGCGAAATGGTAGCTCAAGTTTTGCGAAATGGTAATTTAAAGGTACCATTTCGGAAGGCGCGATAGACAAACACGACAGCAAAGGCGACAAAGAACGGTCTCTTCACGTCTGAACACATGCAATTATACAAAACACATTTCGCAAGGCGCGACACGTCCGAGAGTCAGAACTCGACGACAGGTAGGTCGGTCTCGTGGTATCGTTTGCTGTCTGTTTCCCTTAGTCATCGCTTGTATTAAGAGGTGATTAGTCGATATTTTATAAAAATGGTAGTTGCATTTTTTCGATCTAGGCAGTGTTGCCTAATAAACATTTACTGAAACAGTATTGGTGAAAAAAAACGTAGATCTGAACAGTAGATTTTAATACAGGGGGAGATAATTATATATTTGCAGTGTAGTAAATAAAAAAAAAAAACAAGTATATAAGAAACGAAAAATAAACATTTTCTACCTAAATTATAAAGTAAACAAAGAATAAAAACAAATATTACCATTATTATTATATACTTAACATACGGAACCAAAAAAAGAAACCAATAAAAAAATAATAGGTATTTCTTTTAGATCAGTCTGAATCATATAATTTTAATACGTTCTGTTTGGCATGCATGTTCTTTTTATGATGCCCTATTAATTATTTGTTACATTTTAAATAAAACCATAATGATTATCTTATGGTTTTTTTATGGAGCAAACCTACAGTAGTGAATGCTAATTACGCTGTTTTTACTTCAGCAAATTTACTAGAGAAAATATTATTTGACCATTTGCTAAAGAATGGGGAAAACTTAATAAATTAAGAACAAAATTTATTTAGTTGGCGAAATCAGTAGATTTCATGCCTAAAACAAAAGAACAGAGACAAAAACAGTAGGTCTGGCAACACTGATCGTTCCTTTGAATTGTTGTCTGCGGTTGTCGGGTCGCGCGTCTCCTTGCCTTCCGAATGTGTAAAAGGTAAACTATAAATACTAGGGTAAGACTCTTGTGTGGATTTTTTTGTCACAAATACCCTTTCGATGAAGATCGAATTAAATCAAATACTCCAAAAAATTGCAAGCCATATAGCCCAGGAGCAAATGAAGGGGGATCCTTAGGACATTAAATTGGATCAACATACCAATTTATTGATTTTAATTTATCACTGGTAACTCTTGTATTATACTCTTCATACTCTGTTTCATAATCATTAAAAAAACATCCACTTTAAAAGATTTCATATAAAATTAGTCTTGTTTATATTATTATACCTGATAATTATTCAAACAAATTTTTTTTGTTGTTAATAATTTACATTGCATTTCAGGCATATTCAAGAAGGTTTTTGAAAATAGGTATGCTGTACTGTTTAGTAATTTTTCATTTTCCATTTACATAACCCACATGAGCTTTCCTCTAATGAGACACAGTTATGTGCTACCTGACGTCGACTATTTTGTCGTAGTAAGTATCTTGTATTTTTATTAGTTATATATAGTTCAGAGTGTTGAAAATATTTTCTATATCTTCCTATTTTCTTTTGACGTAACTCAATGCCTGGTTAGGTATTAGCCAAAGTAGTAGTTATTAAAAAAGAAACGGCCCCTATATTTATTAGGACTTGGCTTTGAGATTTGTTTAATGTATTTTACATCTCGGTCACATTTGAGTTTGGAATTATTTCCTTTTTAAGAATAGCCCGCCTGGCTTTTATTCCACCTAGTCTCTGAACTAGGTACTACAGCGACCTTTGATTTTGCTTACTAAGTACGGATGGCGATACCATTTTCGCTCGTTGAATATCTAAACATATGCTCAACCCGCCGTTATTGTATTCGATCGAATTTAGTATTACCATCAGACTCCATTAGAGACTAGAATCGAGAATTTCTATTTCTTGCTGAAAAGTCCTCATAAGGACGAAACCGGTCCAAGAATGACTTTCTCTTTAGTGGGCACAATCAAAAGTAAAGTGTTGAAAATATTTTCTCTCTACTTTTTCTTTGGACGTAATTAAGTCTTTTTATTATCAAATTCATAAAATGGCAATTTTTTTTTTAAATATGTCGTTTTGGGACTTTCTTGGTATTTTTTTAAAATACATTTTTTTTTTAATAAAATAATGAGTATATTATGAGGATTTTATTATGTCGTTATAAAAAATGAGGCATCTTGTTAAACATTTTTTAAATAACGTTAGTTTTTCAATAATAATTTTTAAAATAAAACACTAATAATTTTGTCGTCACTTTTTTGTTTATTATTAATAAGTATTTTACAAAATCTTAGATGAGTTTTAAAATATAAACTAATGAAAGGTAATATAACTAAAAAAAAAATTAATTCTTAATAATGCTCATAAAACTTACAAAACCTTAAATAAGATTGGGAATATAAAGCAATGTAAAAGTAAAAATATAACTAAACATTTTTTATTCTTAATGCTTAATACCTATATTGGCGGAACTTTAACAAAAACGTAAATGCATTTAAAACTTAAAAAATTGAAGCTAACTGAGTAAACCTAATGTGATGTTTGTTTATTTTTAAACAACAGTTTATTTATTAATAATTTATTTAAACACTTATTTATTTTATAACACTACTATTCTAATTTATATATATATATATATATATATTTTGAATGTCTTTAAACTGTTCACTATTTATCTTCACTGTCCCATATACAGGGTATTTCAGATTTAAACGGACACAGCTTAATGGGAGGTGGAGTACACTCAGCTGAGTTCAAAACACGCCTATACTTATCCTTTAATCTTACTCGTTTCTGCGATATAGGGTGTTTTATGATTTTTTGCCAAAACTAAAATCGGACATTTTGGTTTGAACGACCAGAGTTACTTTAATAAAATTTTGTATAAAAGTTACACTCTCTTAGGTCAATGAAAACCATAATTTAATTTTAAAAAAATCCAGGACCGGGCTCTTTTTTTTTATAATGCTCTTCTTAGCTAGATAATCACCCTGTATATCGGATTTTAATAAATGTTACTGCACATTTAAATAGTACGTGGATTAGCAAATAAAATAGTGCAATAATATTTAATGGCACCATCTTAATGTTCTTACAATAAATTTTTATACTAGCGACTACATTATTATAAATCAGTATTTACAAAATTAAAATCCAATATTTTACTCTATACTTTTAAAACTCTACACAAATTAGGTACCATCTACCATTTTTTTTTTAAATACAGCATTTTCCATTAGAAAATTGAACATCTACACAGGACCGGGCTCACTTTAGTTAATAAAGTATTAGAACAAACTAACAGAAACAAATAATTAATTAAAGCTAAAGTAGATTTTCAAAATGAACACCTTGAACATCAATACACCTCTGCAAACGTTTTAACAGGTTTTTCATTGATTTGTCAATTATTTTTGGTTTATTTCTAATTTGTTACATACATTGTTAATTTTTTCCAATAACTGTGCTCGGGTATTCATTTCTTCTTGGTTTGGTGTGGAATTTTTAAAAAATCACCTAATACCCAAGCACAGTTAAATCATTGTTTCCCAAATAGATGAATAGGTCGAGGCGATCCCGTCAATTGGCTACCAAGATCTCCAGATCTAACACCTCTGCATTATATTTTATGGGACTACCTTAAATCAGAGGTGTACAACGAATACAATACAATAAAACAAGGCTCTCTAAGCCCTCGCGACCAACATGTGGCCTAGCCACGCGGAGAATTCCCAAAATGACCTCAAATTACCTTTTATAAATTCTTTTGTTAGTTTATTATTTTATTTATATTTAATAATGATTTAACTAATCAACCTTGCACATGATTGCAATTTAAAACAAATTGTTGACATAATTAAACAAAGTACAGGATGTTATGTAAATAATTAATTAGAATTTGGAAAAAATGTGAATTTATAATTATAATAATAATAATAATAATACGTTTGTTGCTTATAAACCTAAGTTACAGCAAGAGTTAAGGTTTTATAATATATACAAAAAAAAAATAAAAAATTCAAAACAAAATTGTAATAAACAAAAGTAACAATAGGTCCAGTAGTAGCTAATGCTCACTAATGCTGATCGTAGGGCGACCATAAAGAAATTTATGCGATATAAAGAAAAAAAAAATAATAAAAATAAAAAAAAATTCAGTTACATATCGACCAGCACCCGTGAACCCTATTACTGAAAGTTTACTTATTATAATTTATTTATTTAAAATAAATGATCTTAATTTTAGAACATTGCATATATAAGAAAATATACACCATGCATCTGGTTCGGTTATATTTTCTAATGCATAGATTAAAGCCTCCAGATCGTTTAAACAATTTGTTTTTGGTTTCATAACATTATATATTGGACAATCGAATAAGATATGTGTAAGAGATTCATTTACATTTATGTTACATACCGTGCAAACATTATTGGGATCTATTACATATATATTATTATTAAGTGTAAATTTTAACCGAAATTTATTAGTTAATCGGAGTTGTGCAAGTGTTCGTGTAACTTGTATGGGCAGTTTTAGAAGTAAATATTTTTGGGGAATTTTATTAGTGGAAAAAGCTGTATATAAGGACAAAAACTGACAGCGTGTAATTCCTATAATATCAAAATTGTAATAAGCAGTTAGTAACTTGGTTTTGTTTAGTTTTAGGTTATTAGCATCGAGATTATTCCATATGTCTTCATGGTCAATTAATTTAAATAAGTGTCTAACTTGAGCAGCCCAATTATATTTTACTTCTCCAGAGTTAATCAAATGAAGCAGTTTATTAAAACAAAGCTTTGGATATCGATTATCATTCATACTTAAGATTTTATGCAGCCAGTTTAAAGTCATTTTGAATATATTATAGGAATATTTAACTCTGCCAGTTTCTAGTCTTATTGCGCAGTCAGGTGTATTGATAGGCACCAATAGCATCCTCTTCAGAAAAGTTATTTGAACCCTTTCTAACATCTCCAAATACCTTAGACTCGACACAGGGGCACAATTAGACATTATGCTAAGAGCTAAGGATTCAAACAACTTTATCCGAGGATACCATGTGTCTATTTTAGCTTTGGCCATAACCGGCAAAATTGCTCCTATGGCTTTGCTATCTGAAGCTGATAACGACATTTCGTAAAACAAGCCAGAAGATGTAAATGTGACTCCTAAATATGTATATTTATTTGTAAAATTTAGATGTTGACCGTTAAATTTGAAAGGGTAGTTATTTTTTTGAAAACCTCCTCTAGAAAATGACATGATTTTAGTTTTTTGGATGTTGACGGTAAGGTCATTTAAAGAGGTATATTTTTCTAAAATTTTAAGTTTTTTTGTAACATCAATCTCAGAGTGTGCTAGGATTACCATATCGTCGGCATAAAATAGTGTGAGAACATCTTGGATATCATCAATATTCACACCCTGGGCTCCTTCGGCATAAAAAAAATCTTCTATATCAGCTAAAAACATGGCGAAAAGTAAAGGACTTAGAGATTCTCCTTGCAGTACATCGTCAGTTACGAAGCGTGACATGCCCCCCTCCTTTCAAGCGTCGCCCCGACACTTAAACAATGAAACTGAAATTTATCCCATTCGGAATCACAAAAATATTTTTTATTTGGGGCTTAACGTTGGAGTTGGTTCGGCTTAAAATATATAAGATTGAGTTTTATTTTATTACTACAATAGTGCCTCTGAACTTCTAAAAAAAAATGATAAAAAAAATTAAAACTCAATCTTACTTTTTCTAATTCTAAATAATACAACCATTTTTTCCACATATCGTGTTTCTTGCGAACGTCTTTTCACACAAACACTATAGTCTCTATTTGGAATGGACCAGTGGGGGATGAGTCATCTTCGGGCCGTGTGGGTGGAGAACATCATCTACTTATCATAGAACATCATCGGACATCTCCACATATCACGTATCTCGCCATGGGTACTTTGCAAATCCACAAAGTCTTTCCTGCATCTCACATCTAGCAGGAAGTTCATCTCATGACAACTACGATCTGGAGAATGCTGATAGATAGGCACACATATTAAATTTATCCCCCTTGAAACCATACAAACAAATAACTACTCATCACATCGTCCATTATATTGACAAATATTTTTCTCTGCTTTCTGGTCATCCCCGGTATATATATTTAGAGACACCATCGTCGTACTACATATATTATCATAATGACCAGCGCATTTTTTAATATCATCAGTGTCAAGGTTACAAGTAGCAGTGTCTTATTTCGCTTCTATTGTGTTTCTCGCTGGATCGTTTGTACACCTGATATGGCTAGTGGAGAGGTCTGTTATGGACTATGATAAAATTTTGGCCCGAATTCACTATCCTTGCTTCTGGGGTGGGTACCATGGTCCATCCAAAATCTTCGTTGTGTGGGGTCGCCCGATACATGGAATAAAGAAATACACAATGCAGTGCTTAATGAAATTTAATTTAAT